GGGGGGGGGGGGGGGGGGGGCAGGATCACACCTGTCCCAGTGGGAAGAGGGGGTGGCTGTCCAGGCTGAGCACGGGCTGCAGGCAGGAAGGAAGGCGGGTCTCACTAGAGCAGGTTCGTCATCAGAGGCTTCTGGTTCACGATTCAGTGTTAGCAAACAGAGGTGTTCGGTCGACCAGAAGAATGTCTGGGGGAGAGGTTGGTTGGGTGTCCTGGCTTTGTGCTGTTGGACGACCCCACCTAGCTTCCTGTCTAGTCCCACCTGCTGGTGGATGAGGGAGGGTGAGTGATGGCTGAGAGCCAGATCGGAAACACAGGTTTTGTCTTGTGTAAACCGACACTCGATTTGGATCTTGGTGGTTGTGATGAGGTGGCTCTCCTTGGTCCCCTGAGGAAGCGGCTGGAGAAGGAGTCTGCTAGGAGTGTTTTCCTGTCTCAGCCTGGCCTGCCAGCGCAGCCTCAGTTGTTTTGTCCCATCCGTTGTGAGCTCTGTTCTGTGCCTGTGTGCGTTTCTGCAGATAGTCACCGAGGACCAGTTTTGCGGCCACCAAGGAAATGACATGTATGACGAGGAGAAGGTGAAATACACGGTGTTCAAAGTGCTGAAGAGCTCGCCGCTGGCCGAGTTTGTCCAGAACCTGTCCCAGACCATGGTGAGTGCCGCCTGAGCGCCTGCTGCCCTGGGTTGCCTCCAGGTTCCAGCCACTTTCCTCAGGGCCAGAAGGGGAGGACCATCTGTGGCCTTCTTGGGTCACATGTCCTGTCTTGAGGTGTGTGTGGAAGACAAATCGTGAGCTCGGCTGTGGTGCAGATGAACCTGAGGTTTTCAGAAACAGGTCTCTGCCCTTTTGACCTGATTTTTTCAGTGGGATCTGTAGCAGGGGGCCACTGTGAGAAGCCAAGAGGAGAGTGATAATTTTTGTCACCCCCCCCACCCCCACCCCAGCACTCACAGAATCATCCAATGATGGGATTAAAATGCGGGTTGGGTTGGGTTTAATTTATTTCTAAAAACTTTTCAGGGATTTCCACAAGATCAAATTCGGTTATGGCCCATGCAAGCGAGGAGTAATGGAACAAAGCGACCGGCCATGTTAGATAACGGAGCTGATGGCAGTAAGACGGTGAGTGTCTGGGACAGTGGGCTTTCACCTGCGTCGGCAGAAGGCCTTCACCCCATGCACTGGGCTCCCCTTTTGTGACATAGACCTGGGTGTTTTCTACAGTGCTTGAGTATGATTATTTGCTCTGTCACCAAAGCCATTAAGATCGTCTAAAAGTAGTGTCTCTTTTGGAAATAGATGATTGAACTCAGCGATAATGAAAACCCTTGGACAATATTCCTGGAAACAGTTGATCCTGAGCTGGCTGCTAGTGGGGCAACATTACCCAAGTTTGATAAGGATCGTAAGTGCCAACGAAACGCCCAGCTGCCTTCAGAGTGGGAGGCTTGGAGTCCTAGACTAAACACGGCCCGCTGGGAGGTGTTCCCTTGACACGTTCCAGAAATGGTCACCAAACCCCGCAGTGCTGAGGCTTCTTGATGAAGTCCAGGCTGACGCTGTCTTCTGGGCGGGTGACAGGTGGCAGCAGCGTTGAGATGTCATGGTACCTCCTTGATCTTGGCCCCTGTGTTTGCTAATCACTTAGGTCTTCTTTGCAGTTGACAGGGCATGTAGCACAGGGGTCGGCCCGTTTCCTGTTGAGGGTGGGCTGTGAATATCTTAGGCTTTGAGGGCATCCTGTCCTTCCAAAAGCTTCTGCCTCTCTGGTGTGGAAGCAGCCGTAGGCAGTGTGTGAGTGAACGAGCAGGCCCTGTTTCAGGAAGCTTCCTGTAACAACACAGGTGGGTCAGTTGGTTGACCCTTGCTGCAGCATTGTGGGATTTTAGTGCTGTGGCCGGCCACGTCTCTGCCAAAGGCAGCTGTTCTCGTGGGTCCCTGGTAACACTGGGCAGGCTCGCAGGAAGTGCCAGCTCTTGACCCAGGATTCCTTAGTTTGCTGCCCTGGATGTAGCATTGCAGTGAGTTTGATGTGTGGCCCTTTTCTCTGGAGCCATGATAAACCCCACCTGACGTGTAACCTGTCAGATGCCTTAAGCTGTCATTTTGGTGGTCACTGAGTTTACTAAGCGTACTGTTAGTTTTTGTAATGTCACTGTGAGAATAAAGAGCCTAACAAAGCCTGTTGGTTAACCTCCTAGATGATGTCATGTTGTTTTTGAAGATGTATGATCCCAAAACCCGGAGCTTGAATTATTGCGGGCACATCTACACACCGATATCCTGTAAAATACGTAAGTCCTTGTGTCTGCTCCCTCTGCGGAGAGGGGACCAAGTCTTGGTATGTTCCAGCTGTGAACTTTTTTCTCCCTTTATCCTAGGTGACTTGCTCCCAGTTATGTGTGACAGAGCAGGATTTATCCAAGATACTAGTCTTATCCTCTATGAGGTCTGGATGCCGCTTCATTTTCCCATATTGATCTGTCTTTACTAGTGGCGGGGGGCGGGGGGGTGTCTGTTATGCCAGCCCCGTGGCCTCAGGTGATGGTGGCGCCACGTTTCCCGCTTGGCTGGGTGTAGAGAAAATACTGTATATGCATGTGGGGTCTGCTATTATGTACTTTACGGCCATCTTCGTCGGTACTCAGACCTTAGGTTTTTAAGTGTTTCCTATCTTTCTTTTCAGGAAGTTAAACCGAATTTAACAGAGAGAATTCAGGACTATGATGTGTCTCTTGATAAAGCCCTCGATGAGCTAATGGATGGTGACATTATAGTATTTCAGAAGTAAGTGTTTTTTTTTTCCAAGTATTGTGCTTAGTACCAATATTGAAATTTTTTCTCCCGAGCCCTAGAACTGGAGCGCAAAATTGCCTCTAGACCCTGAGCCACGTTTTGTGGAAGTTACCTGGTGTTCTGCGGGTTTTGGAATTAGCACTGGTGGACAGTTTTGTCATTTAATGCCCTGTCTGCTTTCCTAAAACATCTACAGTGGTCGTGAGCGCTGCTGGCCGAGGAGACGTGTGGACTAACAAGGTGGTCCTCCTTAACATGCCTGCAGGTCCTTGGACGGTCCTTTCGTGTGACCTCAGGCTGCGGGTTTAGACAAGTGGAATGGAGGGTGGGCTCAGACTCTGCCTGATGCTAAATCCAGCTTTCTGAGGACAGGGTTCCGAGGTCAGGAACAAAGCGTTCAGGCTTTTTCTGAAAGGACCAGATAGCAAAGGTTTCAGGCTTAGCAGCCATTCTGCCCTGCCCTTGTGGCACAAAAGCCATAGTTTGTGGAATCCTGGTGGAGAGCATGGGCTCTCCCTGTGCCCTGTGTGGGAGGAGTGATTGGCGTGTGCTGTGTGCTTGTTTCGGTGGTCGTCAGACCAAGGAAGTTAATGTGAGCACCTGCTCACCTGGGTGCAGCGCGGCCTCTGCCGTCCCCTGCCCTGGCCCGGAGCTCACCGCGCGCAGAGCGGCCTCTGCCATCCCCTGCCCTGGCCCGGAGCTCACCGCACACAGAGCGGCCTCTGCCGTCCCCTGCCCTGGCCCGGAGCTCACTGCGCGCAGAGTGGCCTCTGCCGTCCCCTGCCCTGGCCCGGAGCTCACTGCGCGCAGAGTGGCCTCTGCCGTCCCCTGCCCTGGCCCGGAGCTTACTGCGCGCAGAGTGGCCTCTGCCGTCCCCTGCCCTGGCCCGGAGCTCACGTGTACAGAGCGGCCTCTGCCGTCCCCTGCCCTGGCCCGGAGCTTATGTGTGCAGAGCGGCCTCTGCTGTCCCCTGCCCTGGCCCGGAGCTCACCGCGCGCAGAGTGGCCTTTGCTGTCCCCTGCCCTGGCCCGGAGCTCACCGCGCGCAGATCGGCCTTTGCTGTACATACCTGGCTTCGAAGGAAGCTGGGCTGAGCTCACAGGGAGGCTGACTCCAACTGCAAGGGTGCTGATGCCATTCAGGTCAGTGTGGCCTATCACTCAACCTGCGAATGGTCTTCGTTTCCAGGGATGACCCGGAGAATGACAACAGTGAACTCCCCACTGCAAAGGAGTATTTCCGAGACCTCTACCACCGCGTCGATGTCATTTTCTGTGACAAGACAATCCCGAATGATCCGGGATTTGTCGTCACGCTGTCCAATAGGATGAATTATTTTCAGGTATTGGACGAGGGCCTCCTCCCTTCAGATTCCAGAAAGCCTGGTTTCTTCTTTCAAATGCCTGAGGGAGAGGCTGTCCAGCAGGTCTGGTCCGGAAGGAGCTGGCAGGTTGCTGCTGTCTGGGGCTGTTCTCCTGGGAAGTGAACCGGGGCTAGTCTCTCCATGGGAACCAGGGCCATCCTCACCTGCCCCATCGCCTCCTTGAGACCACTGGGGTTTCTGTCAGACTCCTCCCCACCCTAACTCTACGGACCTCACATTAAAGTGAAAGTCTTTAAGTTAACCTTTGTCAGCTGTGCACTCCCTGGTGAGGTCTGAGGAGCTGGGTGGATCCTGTTAGAAGGAGAAATTCTGTTGTTGTTACGTGCCATCAAGTCAGACCCGACTCAGAGCGACCCCTCCTTGGGTTTCCGAGGAAACCCAAGCAAGATCACCCAACCTTCCCTCCGAGGAGTGGCTGGTAGGTTTGAATCACCAGCCTTCTGGTTAGCAGTCAAGTGCTTAGCCATTCTGCTACCAGAGCTCCTTTACTTAATAATGTAACCAAATAATATTGCAGTATGATCAGGCTCTTGGCAGATTTCTGTTCTTTCTGGAAAATGTAGACCTTCCCTTTTGTCTTCTGATTCCTATCCTCCCAGGTGGCAAAGACGGTTGCACAGAGGCTTAACACAGACCCGATGTTGCTCCAGTTTTTCAAGTCTCAAGGGTAAGCTGTGGCCATGGTCCCTGGTCGTCCGGCCTGTGCTGCATGTTTGCTGTGGTTCACCAAAACGTCTCGGAACTGATTTAACACAGAGCCTCTTGACGGGCCCTCCCTGCTTAGCTGTAGACACAGAATTGTCACCACTCACATCCCAGTCCCACTGCTGCAGGATCTCAGGATAACTGACAGCCTCCTCTAAAACCAGACTGTGGACCGGCTGTGTCCCCTCATCCACACTCGCCCACGGCTCCTGCTGGGCCAGCCCTGCCCGGCTCGAGGGCATTGTGTCACCAGGCCACAGAAGGGCTAATAGTGGGACAACAGAGGGACGAAGGTTTCATGGAGCGGGTGTGTCCCGGGTAGCCCCTGCCCAGGCCCCTGTGGTGCGTGCACGTATCAGCAGGCAGTGGTTTGCTGGGATGCTTGCTCACGGACGTGTGTTTCAGGCAAGTGACCAGGCTGTTCATTTCTGTGCTGTTTTCTTGTGTAGCTACAGGGACGGCCCAGGGAATCCTCTTAGGCATAATTATGAAGGTACTTTAAGAGATCTTCTACAATTCTTCAAGCCTAGACAACCTAAGAAACTTTATTATCAGCAGGTATGAGTCCCAATTAATTCACCATGGGGAATAGAGACACGGCTTGGGCTATTTGGAAGTGTATCTAAAGTGACCCTCTCTTTTTCAATAGCTGAAAATGAAAATCACAGACTTTGAAAACAGAAGAAGTTTTAAGTGTATATGGTTGAACAGCCAATTTAGGGAAGAGGTGAGTCTTTGAGTAGCTTGAATTTCACTTTTCTTGGAGCTTGATTATTGTTTCCGCCTCACCCTTAACCTTGGGAACAAAAACAATGGGAGAGAAGAATTAGAAGACTTGACTGAGGGTCTGATGGTTCGCCCTGTCTTCCCCACCTGCCTTCTGCAGGCTGTGGGGCAAATAACAACCCGGTTGGCCTGAATCCTCCAGTGATGTGTCTGACCTATGGGGGCAGGGTCTTGAGGTTGACACCTTGCTACCTGGCCTGGGGCAGTAGCATCTCTAACACACGCATGCTGTAAAGGTGTCCGTTACACCAGCTAGCATCGACTGACTGCCTTGTTTCCAGAGTTCCTCTATCAAGCCTGGTCCTGGCAGAAGACCTGGTCAGACAGCTTTTTCTAAAATCCTTGCTGCTTATAAAATAGAACCCTGCCCTGCCCTGTGTAGTTGTAGTTTTGGGGCGGAAAATTTCTGACCCTGCTCAGTTCCGTCCAGACAGACAGCAGCCTGGGTATAGCCTGTCCCTGCATGGATTCTGTGTCTTTTACCTTCCCAACTCGACCAGTATGGCAGGAACCCAGAAGACGTGCGGAGTGACTGGGGGATGTTACTGAGCACACCGGTGCCTGACCTGGGTGGCTTTGCTCGCCTTTCCTCACTGTGCTGAGAGCTGGGCAGGCTTTCGGATGGCCTTTTTGGGGACCGTCCTGTAAATACAAGCTTTGCGCCACAAGGTGGCATTCCTTAGACTCTCCTCAGTCCTGAGTGGCACCCGGTTTGGGGCCTGTCATCCCACAGTGCGTGAGTTCACAATTCAGGGTCCACACAACTACTGGTCTTGCCTCGTCCAGAGTGAGAGAGGGTTAAGGTAGGCAAGAGACTCGGAGAAGGAACTGGTGTGCAGGACAGAGTGCCTACGTGAAGCATGGCCTCCCCGACCCTGAGGCCAGGCGAGCTAGATGGTGTCAGGCTGCCCCTGCTGGGCACTCTGATAAGGGCCACGCTAGACGGAGCCCTGTGGGTCGGGAGAAGAACACGGAACAGAGCCTGTTCCTCAAAAGTCAGGCTTCCTGGCCCAGTGGAGACTGGAGGAGCCTTCACGACTGTTGCCTTGAGAAGCTCTTTAAACCTTTATGCCTGGAGGTCGGTCACCTTTAAGCTAGATAACAGATTGGCTCATAAAATAAAGAATATCACCCATGAGGAGTGAACTTCTTAAAAAAAAATCATCTCTATGAGATCAAGTGGGCAAAACGACTGTGAAACAGATGAGGCGGTGAGGGCAGGGGGACCAGAGCTCGCTGAACGGGAACGATGCCCCTTGTGAAGAAGGCATCCAGCATCACTGTGCCATTGGGTGAAGGCTGTGAAATGGCAGCCTGGTTGGCTGTGTCAGCTTCACCATCGGTGCAGCGGAATAACAGTAAAGACCAGGAGCCACGCCTCAGTGGCGTGTTGACAAAGTGTGCCCCAGCCAGAGGCTGCCGAGAGCAGCCCGTGCACACTTCTCTCGTCAGGTTGGTGTGTTATAGCAGAGACCGTCCTGTTTCCTCTCGAGTTCTGACTTCATTCTGTTGTTACTCAGGAAATAACACTATATCCAGACAAGCACGGGTGTGTCCGGGACCTGCTGGAAGAATGTAAAAAGGCCGTCGAGCTCGGGGACAGAGCCTCAGGGAAACTCAGGCAAGTGTTTCCTGAAGAGGAGGCGGCCGCCAGAGGACAGTGAAACGCAGACCAGGCCCATGGCCGGGCCCCACGCTCGCCCCTCAGTTGGTCTTTTGCGGAAAGTTGATGAATTTGTCAGAATTATCAGCTGTTCTTTTTTACACACACACACACACACACACCCGCCTCCTTCCTTCCTCACCTCCTGTTAGTAGTTAAGTGTTGTCAGAGGTGGTGGGATTTGGGCAGGTGTGGTTCAGAGAGTGCTTGACCGAGACCAGGAGTGGGCCCCTTCTGACTCGGATGGCCACGTTCTCCCCCAGGCCTTTGGCTCCAGTTCTAGCGTAGGTTTCAGCACTGTCCTCGCCACTGTCTCACTGGCAGGCCGGCTGTTGGGTTCTCTGTTAAGCAAAGAATGAGCCCTTGCTGTTGTCTCAAGAGCATATCAGGAAAATGGCAGGTCCTGCCTGTTTTGAATTGTGGTGGGAAAGGTGGACCAACATCTAGCTGACAGCATGCGTCCAACGTGGCTCAGCCTGGAGGCCTCTGCTGGCGGCACCTTGAGGTGGTGGTTTGTGTGCTGTCGCCCCACCGATGGCTGTCTGTCTCCTGCACACAACTGCTCGTGACATTTCAGACCCTCTTTGAACAGGAAAAAAATGCATGCAGGTCTCGGGGGCCCTATAGACAGATTCTTCTAGCAAACTATACTGTTGGTCCGTGTGGTCGGACAGTTTTATTCTCTCCAGACATGAGCATATGTAGTTCACTTTTCCCTTTTCCTTGCTTTGTTCAGGCTGCTAGAAATCGTAAGCTACAAAATCATTGGTGTGCATCAGGAAGACGAACTACTAGAGTGTTTATCCCCCGCGACGAGTCGGACGTTTCGAATAGAGGTAACCTGTCTCTGCTGGTGGGACCCTGGACCCTTGGGCGGGGGTGTGGGGGCACTGCTGGTCTGCTTGCCACAGCGTGAGAAGTAGCTTCCACGTGCTTCCGGTAGTTGAGGTGATACCTGAGGTGCCATCCTGCCCACTCAGATTCTGAGGAGTCAGTTCTAAACATGGGCCACCAAGCAAGTCTAGGCAGGAACTGTGGGTCCCTGTGGAACTTTGGGCTGCTGCATTTCCCACAGAAACTAGATGGTGCCTTTCTCTCAAAGCCCAGTGTTTCCTGCTGTAAAAGCCTTGCTCTCTTCAGCTGTGGACTTGCCAGTCGGCCTGGGCCTGGCATCTGAGCAGGAGTGTGCTAGAAAGTCCTGAAGGAGCCGTGGGACGGGGGCGGCTGCTTCCTCCCGCCAGCTGCACTCCGCCCTCATGGGTTTCAAACGTGTGTCCGCAGGAGATACCTCTGGATCAGGTGGACATAGACAAGGAGAACGAGATGCTGATCACGGTGGCCCATTTCCACAAAGAGGTGTTTGGAACCTTCGGCATTCCCTTTTTACTGAGGATACACCAGGTGAGGGTCTGCGTAGTGGCTTGAGCGTCACGTGTCAAACCTGTCGTCTCCCGTGATCCCTGAGTTACCGCCGTGGCTGGGTCCTCGGCTGCCGAGTGGCATGCTGGTGTCCATGTGGGCTCCGAGGGCAGCTTGGCCCCGGGCTCGGCAGGTGAGCCCGAGCTGTGTAAGCACGCGTGGCCTTCCGTTGCAGGGCGAGCATTTCCGAGAGGTGATGAAGCGGATCCAGAGCCTGCTTGACATCCAGGAGAAGGAGTTTGAAAAGGTGCGCGCTTAACGGGCCGCGTGTCCTAATCCTGCCTGGTGACGCACCCGGAAGGGGCTGGCCAGAGAGAGTCTGCTCATAACCAGCATTAACGACGGAGTTCTGCCTTTTGTTTTTTAGTTTAAATTTGCAATTGTAATGATGGGCCGACACCAGTACATAAATGAAGATGAGTATGAAGTAAACTTGAAAGACTTTGAGCCTCAGCCCGGTAAGAGCCCTCCCCTGGACACAGTTTCTCAGCTGCGGTTGACGTCTGAGTGGCTGGGAGGCGGGTGCAGCCCTGGGTTCAGTGTTCTCCTGTCAGGAGCCTGGGCTGGTTTGCACATCAAAGAAACGGCAGCCTGGGGTCTTGTGGTTCTTGTAAGGATTAAAGCACCTGGCATGTGTTGAACAAAACACGTCGCCCTGCAGTCGTCGGTGCTGCCGACCCCGGAGGCCCTCGAGTCGGTGCTGCCAACCCCGTAGGACAGAGGGACTGCCCATGGGGTTTCCAGGGCTGCCATCTTCATGGGAACAAACTGCCACATCTTTCTCCTGCAGAGTGGCTGGTGGGTTTGAACTGCCAGGCACTTAAACACTGTGCCGTGTTTGGCATTAAATGTGGGCCAGATGGGGACTTCAAATGGAAGCGCAGGGTTGAGGTTGGCGGCTCTGTGTAAGTTGTCAGGTGACCTGAGGTGCTGCTGCGTCTGAGCTGCTGGGGCCGCAGAAGTCCTGTGTCCCTGTAAGCGCGGACCGCCAGCCCACGCCGCGTGACGGGCTGAGCTGTGCGCCAGGGCTCCTGACCTGAGAGTGTGCCTCCTCAGTTGCTTTTCTCTCTCCCACCAGGTAACATGTCTCACCCTCGGCCTTGGCTAGGGCTTGACCACTTCAACAAAGCCCCCAAGAGGAGTCGTTACACGTACCTTGAAAAGGCCATTAAAATCCATAACTGACTTCCTTCCCCAGTGTGTGCAAGGCGAGGGAGCGTGCGTGGGTGCGCGCTCCTTTTTAACACCCGTAGAACTGTGGTGCACGTGCACTCTGCCCGGGGTCTTCAGCAAGAGGATTTGCTGCTCATGTTACTTTCTTTTGTTGAGGCTGTTCAGTTTGGCTTCTCTGTATCTACGGACTGCCCTTTTTGAGCAAAATGAAGCCGTTTTTATAAAGCTTGGATGCCAATGAGAGTTATTTTACGGTAACCACATTGCAAGGCCCCCGTCAGCATAATGGGGGAAGAAGGCGAGTAGGACGCGGGTCGCTGGCCAAAGGCTCTGGTCTGTTTGCGTTGGCGTAAGCCGGCTGGCTGCCTTCCGGGGGGTCCTGCCCTCCAGCTGCGCAGCTCGTTGGTCTCATGGGTAGGCCCGTCCGACTGCCTTCCTTCAGTTACCCTTCATGACCTTCTGTGCATCTGTAAAGGCCAAACACAAACCCACACCTAATCAATAGCCATCTCTCCTTCATTGTGTGCGCTGTCGGCCCTTCCTCGGGCTCCTCTTCTCCAGCCGCCCGGGGTCTCCAACAGCCTCGGCTCATCTCCGTCGGCCCCAATGCCGAAGCCTGTCTGCAAGGCGGACGCACGGAACCCAGGCCTGGCAGACACACGGGGTCTTTTTATCCAATCGAAAACGTTGTTCAGTACAACTAAGGTTTATTACTACGCTGCCTCGTGGCCACTGTGATGCTCTCGCGCGTCCTTGGAAGCAGGCGACAAGATGAGAAGCAGAATGTCAGGAGCAGGCGGAGCAGAGGGGAGAGCCGGTAGCAAGGAGGGCATGCTCACTAGTGGTTAGCAAGCTGTTGACTTTGTAAAGAAAAAAAAAAAAAGCTAAAAGGGGCAAGCAAGGAAGAAATGAAATGTATATTTAACGACGGACACGTTCAGTCGCCCACTGGGAGGCGGCCCCTTTTTGCAGGTGGCTCTCGTGATGGGGATACTCACTGTGTGTACTTTGACTTCCATCCCAGCTGCGTTTCCTTTCTCTGGAGCTAATGCCAGCCGCGTGTCTAGTTCTGAGTGCAGTAAAATAGAGCCCGCAGTCACACTGGTTATCCATCCTCCCGCAGTATTCCTGTTTCCTTCTGTAGCTGCAGTGTATACCACCTCTTCCTGTATATTGCCTTTTTGCTGGAACATGTTGTATGTTGAATAAAATTTTCTATAAAAATTATAATTTAGTGAGTGACATGGCCGTGGAGGAGGCTTCTACTCTACCCTGCAAACAGGCTCGAGACCCCCTTTCGTTTATTACGAGGCCTAAGGTGTACCCCCCATCCCCATGTCTCGGTATTGCTGGTGGCATGCTGGGTTCCCGCCGCCAGCCAGTCATGCCGAGCCTGCCGGTGGCCTCCCGGAGAGGAAATGTGTTCAGCTGAGAGGAGTGGGCTGTTATTTATGGACGTGGTGGGCGGAGCCCAGGGGCCAGCCAGCTGGAGTGGACCAGCCTCTGGCCGGGTCACTGCAGTCGGCTTGTGCCCCATTCCGGGCCCCGTCTCTCCGGCTGGGTCCACGTCCTGCGTGTGCCTTCCTGCTCCGAGAGCTGCCTTCAGACCCCCGGGTCCTCCTGCAGCAAAGCCATTGTGGGCAGGTACCGAGACCCATTCAGGTGGTGACGGGTTTTTTTTTTTTGGCCAGAGGTTGGTTACAGTTGCGGGTAAGCGAAGCTTATCACCCCTCTCCCTTATGGGACCAATGACCGTTTCCACAAGCACTTCCTGTAACGCCCCCTTCATGGGCTACATTTGACCTGCCTGTTCATTCCGTTAGCGTCTCAAGTTTGGGTTTGTTGAACTGATCTTGGGGAGAGTTGGTAGAAGTTTTGAGTTGGCAGAAAACAAGCTGCTTTTGAGACAGCAGACTACCCGACACACGTTTCTGCCTCGCACTCTGCCAAGTAGGGGGCCACCTCCCAAGGACCCCGGTGGGGGTGGCAGTGCCCGTGGCCTGTCCGTGTGGCCCTGCCCCCAGCGGCGTGCTGGCTCACCCACATTTCACAGTGAAAAGAGCATCCAAGGGTCAAGCTTGGCATTTTCACCTTTAACAGTAGTTTCTCACGTGAGCTGTGGCCCCCATCAAAAGGGCGCCACCCAGACACACCAGTCCTCCCTGGGGGTCTCTCAGAGAGCTTCCAGTTGACCTCAGGACCACCGCAGCCAGCAAGAGGGTCATGTGTCTCCAGTTGTCTTTGCTGGGTTTCATATTAAATGTGTAATTATGTTGAAGGAAGTGGCATCTGTGTACCACCGTCTGGGAAGTGCAGCTTTGCTGTGTAGCAAAGTGTAAAGGGGCGTGAGGAAGGGGACCTACAGGGATGCCTGGAGCCCCCGTCTCGGACCGACCCTCGAGTCGGGAGCTCTGCCCGAGGGGGTGGGGAAAGCCTAACCTAGGTGGCACCTCCCAATGCAAGGGTCTAGCCGGGACCTTCCTCACCAGGTCACGGGGCCTTTGAAATCTCTCTCTCTCTCCAGCTCCTGGTGATGGTGCTTGGGCTGGTGTCTGGAATGGAGATTCTGAGGGTCGCTGAGTAGTACTTACAGAAGTTGCCAGTTTGAAACCACCTTCACGGCCAAAGAGGCTGGAAGGTGAAGCCCCTTAACTGAATGGGGGCAGCGAGATGTAAGCTGAACATGGGTTGGGCTCGTAAGGGCAGAGCTGGGTGGGCAGGTGGGAAAGCGTGAAGCTGCCAGGTCCTTCCAGGAGTGGGCAGGCCTGTGTTCTAGTTAAACTTGGCTACAGCTTAGCCCGGGAGCTCTGGTGGCGCAGTGCCTAAGGCACTTGACTGCTAACCAGAAGGCTGGCGGTTCAAACCTACCAGCATCTCCTCGGAAGGAATGTTGGGCAATCTACCGTAGTGATACTGCCTCGGAAACCCAAGGAGGGGTCGCTATGAGTCGGATCTGACTCGACGGCACATAACAACAGCTTAGCCCTGGGCTGGTGGTGAGGAGGCCTGCTGGTGCAGTGGTCAAGCACTTGGCTGCTGACTGGAAGGTCAGCAGTTTGAACCCACCAGCCACTCTGCAGGAGAAATATGTGGTCGTCTGCGTCTGTAAAGATTACAGCCTTGGAAACCCTGTGGGGCAGTTGACCCTAAAAGAAAGCTGTAAGTGGGAATGACTTGACGGCAATGGGTTCAGTGTTTTGTTTCTGGATCAGTGGGAAGAACAGCTGGTTTGGGAATTGCGTGGTTCTCGAGTGAAGGAGATACTGGGATCGGCAACCTAGTGGGCAGGGCAAGTGCAGAAGGTTGATCGCAACGGCCCAGTAGCCGGGCCTCCCCCGTCACTAACGATGGTTACAAACATGCCTGACATTGTGCCTTAACCACATAGGCCCAGGTGTCTCGTGCGGGTGATGGGGTCGCATTTCTGTCTGCAGTTGTGGTAAATACACAGGTGAAGAAACAGTGCCGTTCCGGGACTGAATGACAGCCATTTCCGTGTCTCCCGGCGCCGTCCAGAACAGCCACGGGATGGAGACATGCAGCAGGGCTGGAGCACTTAACGGCGAACTCAAGTAGCAGAGGAAGGAACTCTGTTTAATTCACATTAATTTTAACTTACGTAGCCATGTGTGGCCACGGTCTGCCACGCCGGATGACACAGTTCTAACCAGTTTTCCTCGCTTTATGACTCGCTTTATGAGTTGTGATAATTGCCCGTTGGTCCATGCAGCTATAAAACACTAGTGTGAAGTCGGTTCTAAAAACTGACCCATTGAGGGGCCGTTGGGGCGTTTGCTCCTGGATGGGGACAGAGCTCTGGACCCTTCCCGCCTCGCCGTCGGGGATCGCTCTCTGCCCCGCTCGCTCACCTGCCTGTCCCTAACGTTGCCGTGATGCCCTGGAGTCAGGCCCCTGGGTGGCCTTGCCCGTGGGCCGAGCGGATCTGTATGTGGGTCGGTTTCTAGGAAGGCCCTACCTCTGTCGGGACGCAGCGGCTCCCAGGCCCGCTCCAGGCTGAGAACTGGGAGGGCTGTGTGATGGAAACAAAGGAGGTGTCGCTGCTGAAAGCAGAATGCCCTCAGGTTTGATGGACGTTTGAAGTTTGTCTTAATACGCAGAAAACAAAAGCAGCCTTAGGGATCCAGCCACCCAGGAAACCCACTCCTCTAGCTGCCCGCCCACTCTCCACCCCGCAAGGCGTGGGCACTGCTTGAGCCCTTTCGGGCCCATTTCTGCAGTTTTGCCATGGAGCGTGGCATACACTTGGCTTCTCCCGCGTACGGTCTCGGGTCACACAGTGTGGCCTAGAGCCGTGGGCAGCTGTTGGCCTGGAGCCAAGCAGAGCAGCGGCTCAAAGCCTGGCCAGGGGATGCCCAGGGGCCCTCGCCTGGGCGCTCCCTGCTGACGCCTGTCTCCACGTGCCGTGGGCATAGCTCACAGGAGAGTAGCCACGAGGGCCACCTGAGGAGGCTGCATGCCACCATCAGGGCTTGGGTGGCGGGAAGGCTCACAGGCCGTCGGTTAGAGGGAGCCCCAGAAGCAGGCGTCACGCCCACCCATGGAGCCTCCTGCCAGCAGCCACCCTGGCGCTGCCGTCCCCAGCGATAAGTGGGGTGTGTTCTGTGCCTACGCTGTGGCCACACTTGGGGACCTGTGTAGCTGAGATAAACCTTGTAACTAACTATAGTCCCCTCAGCACTCTACCTACATGCCAGGCAGCACGGGAGGGCCTGGCAGGTTAGCAGTGAGGTGTCTGGGCACAGAGTCACCAGACACAGACCGAGGGGCTGGCCGCCTGGCGGAGCGCTGGGCTGGTATAGGATCCGGGCTCAGTGCTCCCTACGCTGTAGTGTTCCCTGTGCCCCCAGCTCTGCCCCATCTTGGTGGGCTGTCCCCATGCCCAGATGAAGGGGCTGGGTGAGCGGGATGGGGAGAGAGAGGAGCCAGGCCAGCCCTTAGGGAATGTGTGTGGATGGCGTGCTCCTCCCCCATATCCCTAGGTGCTGCGGTCAACTCTCAGGACAGGAAGGCCAAGGCTACCCTTGGGGCAAGACCTCAGCTGTTCGCAGACTAGGAAGTGGACGCGAGAGTGAAGCCATGAGAGAACAGGGACCGATGGGGACGAACAAGGGGCCAGCAGACGATCATTGCTTTGCAAGAGCTCTGTGCAACCAGGTTTCCTGACCTGTTAAAAAGCAGCCAAGAGCCTGGGACGGGCAGCGTCAGTTCTCCCACATTTAGTGGTTGGCCGTGGACACCTACCATCAGGCCTGGGGATTGGCTCCGCCCCACATTAGCTGGGGCTGGGTGAACCTCACGGTCGTGCCCAGATGCCCTGCGGGGCACAGATAGGCCTGTGAGCACCAGGGACCACGCTCAGGCACAGCCCTGAGGCCGCCAGCTGCCTGCATTGCTCTAAACGGTCAGATTCCAGGCTTTGCCAGGGGCCCAGGAAAGAGTGGGGTCTCTGAGGATCCAAGCCGAGATCAGGTCATCGTGTGTGGAATGCAGCGTCTGACCACGGGGCCGGAGCTGAGCCCTGAGCCCCGCACGTGTGCCCTGCAGCAGACAGGGCTGAAGGCCGGATGCCCCGAGGAGCCAGCCTCCGTAACTCCCCACCTGTGCGCCTCTGCAGAGTGCTGGACGCGTCCCAGCCACGTTCCTCTGCCCAGCTCTGGCCTCGGGCTCCCTCTCCTCACTTGAAGCTTCAGACACCCATCTGCTTCGGACACGCACCTGGCCTGCTGACGCCCAGATCGCCGACCTGGGGTCCACCATGTTGACTCCCTCCAGCCTGACTTAGCACGAATGAGCCACACCTCCCTCACCTGCAGGGACTCACCTAAGGTCCCAGGTACTGGGGCCCCACTGTGCAGGAATTTTCACCCTCTAATCTAAAAGCCTTGTTAAAATGAGTCCCTGGTTTGGATGTAAAAATTGACGCTTCTGGTCCCACAGCTCTGGCCCTTTTGATACAGTGGTTAAAACATTTGGCTGCTGACTCAAAGACCTGCAGTTCGAACCCACCAGCCGCTCTGCAGGTGGACGACGTGCCAGTTACTTCCATAGAGATGACAGCCTAGAAACCCTGTGGGGCAGTTCCACTCTGTCCTCTAGGGGCGCTGTGGGTCAGAATGGACTCCATGGCAGTGGGTGTGGTTTGGGCTTTCCTTCCATAGAGATGACAGCCTTGAAACCCTGTGGGCAGTTCTACTCTGTCCTCTAGGGGCGCTGTGAGTCAGAATGGACTCCAGGCAGTGGGTGTGGTTTAGGCTTTGCTTCTGTGGAGACTGACAGCCTTGGAGACCCTGTGGGCAGTTCCACTCTGTCCTCTAGGGGCGCCGTGAGTCAGAATCGACTCCAGGCAGTGGATGTGGTTTGGGCTTTGCTTCCATGAAGACTGACAGCCTTGGAGACCCTGTGGGCAGTTCCACTCTGTCCTCTAGGGGCGCTGTGAGTCAAAATGGACTCCACCGCAGTGGGTGTGGTTTGGGCTTTGCTTCTGTGAAGACTGACAGCCTTGGAGACCCTGTGGGCAGTTCCACTCTGTCCTCTAGGGGCGCT